TGGTAACATAAGAGGCTGGAATTGAGAAGGGCATAAAAGCATATAAACTGCCAGGCATGGTGGTACATGCCAGCAGCTTGGGAGGCTGAGGCAGGAGAATCATGGGTTCAAAGCCAGCCTCAGCAAAAGCGAGGCACTAAGCAACTCAGTGAGACCCTGTTTTTAAATAAAATACAAAATAGGGCTGGGGATGTGACTCAGTGGTTGAGTGCCCCTGAGTTCAGTGTCCCTGGTACCCCTCCCCGTTCCCCCCCCCCCCCAAAAAAAAGCATATAAAACAGACCAATGAAGCATTAGGAAATAGCCATCAAAGTCATTAAAAGCAGCAAAAAGCAGGAGACAAGGGAGACCTATCTGTGTTGGTTGGAGTAGACAGATAAGTCTTGGAAAAGTAGAATCTGAGTGGTATCTCAAAGCATTAGTGGGATATTCAGTCTGAGAGATGTGGAGGTTAAAAATAGAGAACATTTGCAAAAAGGAATGGATGAGAAAGAAAAAATGCTGTTTCAATAGGACAAGATGATAAAATAAATGACTTAATCATAAAACTAGTGTACTCCCATTTATTCTTTACTTCTAGCAGGATCCATTGTTATTCATAATTTATAGAAGAAGAAATAGGTTCAGAGAGGTTAAATAGATGGCTCAAGTTGTTCCACGTAGAACAGCGTGCCTTGTCCCTTAGCTCCCAGCTCCTGTTCTGATCTGTTGGTTGTGTGCCCTTAAGGCAGTGTTCTTTCTTAATTATTTTCCTATCCCTCCTGGTTAGCATGAAGCCTGAACACAGACTAGATGCTTGGTACATATTTGTTGAATCAAACTACAAATTACCAGGGCTTCTGTGCATAATTATTTCCCATCCACATTTAAGATTAAATATAGAAATGTAATGCTGTCAGACCTCAAAGTTTCTTGAGATCTTCTGATCCAACTGACGCACTTTATAGGGGCAATCAAAACTCAGAGAAAGGAAGAGACTTACCCCAAATCTCCCATCCAGTTATCAGCAGAGCTAAACCAATACACCCATCTCAGTTTCTCAACCAGGATTGTTCTCCCATCCCACTCAATCCAAGAGACCCACATATGAGAAATGTGAGCTAGTCCTCCCTCTTCTGAGCTCTCCCACGTTAGGCAAAGATGGAGAACATGGCGAGGTCTCAGAGGTGATTTGAGAGATGTGAGCTCTATTTTTTCAATTGGCAGTTTCCACATTGAGTAAAAGAAGGCTGACACAGGAATTAGATACAAGAACTAGTGCACAATTCTTCTGAGAAAATAACAATAGCAAGAAGAAGAAATGAAAGGTTGAGGGAGGCAGTAGATTTTCCAGTGAATGAGGACAGGGTGCTGTGGGATCCCCTTTGTCTTGCTTTCTCCTAAGTGTAAAACGGTGTCCTCTCCCTAGGACAGGTGGGAAGACCTCCCAGCAGGAGAGCTGATGAGGACATAATGCAGGCCTGGGGCAGGAGTCCACGCTGGGGTTCCAGACCTCCCCGGGGCTCCCAAGCTTGGTGCTCCCCCAGGGTCCTCATCTGTCAACGAGAGGGTTAGAGGAGATTTCTCTGTCTTGTGTTCGTCACTTGCCCTCTCAACTAAAGCCCTGCTCAAAGCTAATGGGCAAGTGAGGTGGAGAAGTCAGCTGAGGCTGTTCGACACTGTCATGGGTGTTGACTCCTTCAGGGGGGCAGACACGGGTGTGACACCAACAGGAGAGACAGCAGGATCAGTTTAGTTGTTCCAGGACATCTGTGAGTAGAACCATGTGTCAGGCACTGTGCATCATGGCGCAGGCAAGAGGCATTCACACACAGCTCCTGCCCTCAAGGAGCTTACAGTTGCACTGGAGAGGCGGACGCCTAAGCAGGTCATCCAGTGACGGGTGGCACACGCCATGTGTTGTGGTGATGGAGGAGCCTCACCCACCCTTCCCAGGGCTGGGAAAGGTTTACTGAGAAGATGATGGCTAATCTGAATCCAGACTGGAGAATTATTTATTTAGTATCCACTGAAATTGTGTCCCTTTGCTTTGTGCTGGGGATTCAGAGGATGAGGCAAAGTCTGTCTTTGGGGGGCCCATGGTCTAACTTAAGAATTAACAAAATAATTCTTTATCTCCCTGGTATAGTTCATGCCCTGGGTTCCTCTGTGTGTGGTTACAAAACATACCACACACAGAGGAGCTCAGGGCATAAACTGTACCAAGATAGAGATAGAGAATTATCTAGGATCCCAAGCCCACTTCCTTCTGAAGAAGTCTGGCAAGATGACCTACCCAAGCTGTGAGGAGCACTGTGGCTGGAGCCATCTGGAGATGGTCCCTAAAGGTGGGCAGACTCTGGTATTAGAGTAACACCACTGTGTTGGGCTTGTTGGCTCTTCTGGTGCCTTCAGCTGAGCTGCTGGACTCAGTGAGACACCTCTGTGCATAGGAACTGTTGGCTGTGGGGGCTGCTCTCACCTAGTTCCTGTTAGCCCGTCCTCCTGGGCGCAACTCTGATCTGGACTGCCATGTTCTACCTGTCTGCATGTTCTGAGAACGACCATGAATGTGCCTCTCTTATTTATTTATTTAGCGGTGCTAAATCACATCCCTGGCCCCTTTTTAAATATTTTTTTAGAGACAGGTTCTGGCAGAGTTGCTGAGGCTGGCTTTGAACTCACAATCCTCCTGCCTCAGCTTCCTGAGCCACTGGGATTACAGATGTGCACCACTGTGCCTGACCCTGTTTTTGCTATGTTAAAAAATATGTTTTGAATCTTTTATATTTAAAAATTAACATGCCCTGAAATTTGTATTTTTGGTATACAGCTCTATGGATTTAAGTCATGTGTAGATTCATACACTCACCACCAAAAGCAGGATACAGAACATTTATCACTCAGAGCAATTTTTCCCTCTCATTGCTTTATGGTGTGCTTTCCTCTTCTTCCCCATCCCTGCAACCACTGACCTGTTGAGAATGTAATGTATATGGAATTCTGTGAGTGTAACTTTTTTAAAATAATGACTTCTTTATTCCACCTAATACCTCTGAGATTCATCCATGTTGTTGTATGTGTCCACAATTTGTTCTTTTTCATTGCTAAGTAGTACTCCTCGTGTGGCAGCACTGCCCCTGGTTTATCCACTCACAGATTAAAGGACGTTTTGATTTTTCCCAGTTTTACATGATCATAAATAGAATGCTATGAATATCCATGCGCATGTATTTGTATGATTGTAAGTTTTCTTTTCTCTAGGGTGAATACTAAGGAGCAGGATTGCAAGGCCAAACCCTTATTTTAGGTCCCTCCCCACTTTGGAGCCTAGTCTGCCCCACCCCTGGGACTTGTGATCCTGGATCACACTCCTGCCTTTCCTCTTCCTTGAATGAGCTGGTCCTGTCTACCAGTTTTATTTCCATCTCTTCCATCCCACAGCCTTCCTCTTTCTGGCGAGGAACTCCTAGCGCATAATAAAACCGAAGCCCATTTTAATTAGTCTGGGCCTTTTTCGGCTCTGAATTTGCTGTGATTTGGATTATTGCACCAGTATTGTAGTACCCTCTGCTGGCTGATCCACAAAGCTGGCTTCCTGCCTGTGCTCTGAGGGAAACTGAAGGTGCAACGGAGAGAAAGGGAAAGAATTGGGGGAAGGGGAGGAAGGAGTCGTGGCGGACTCCCATTGTGGTGACAGCCTGACAAGGGCCCTTCGTGTATTTGATGCTACACATATAGAGAAACGCTGTAATATTTTTGTGGAGCTCTACAATATTGTACTTGTCTTCTCAATTGTAGGCAAAGATGGGCTGTCTGGAAAGCTGGACTCAGCCTGGAGCCTGTTACCCAGATTGCTATTTTGTAAAGCCTTCCGCATACAAATGACTCAGATCCAAACATTCAGAAATGATCTTGGAGGGCCATCTGGTTCTTGCTGGTTCTAAAGCTTCATTCAGCCTGGGGTGTGGATCCAGTTCAAAAGATAGTGAGGGCTCTTCATGGAGGGTTAGTACGTTCCACTGACCAAGGCTAGAAGCTGGCTCTTAAAAATAGCCAGGGCTGATGCTCTCAGGGCTGGCAGAGGCTGCCTCTCATAGGTCAGTGGACGTCTGACAAGTATCTAATTGATGATAATGCGGTCGAACGGTGGTTTCGAAACACACACACACACACACACACACACACACAATTTTGTATCATCTGAAAACATGTGTTAATTTGTTTGGGTGTCTGAAACAGTCTGGGAATTAGGCTGAACCAGCATGTCAGACAGTGAGGTCTATGGGAGCCTTGTAATCGCCGAGATGTGTCATTTTTAATTTGTGAAGACAATACTGCCAGCCTTGCAGTTTGGATAATGGTGCTGATGGGTTTGCTATTTACACTTGCTGGCCGCTTGCCTTTCTGAGCAAAGGTACGGCTTCAGATTCTGTGGACGAGGGACAGGGTGTGTTCCCTCTCTGGAAGGCCCACAGCTGGAGAAGGGATGGGAGCCTGTGATCTCAGCCTGTGATCTCAGCCTCCGCTCTGGGCGGTGACCAAGTCCAGACAGAGCAGAGAAGGGGCCACTGGGCATCAGGGAACATGGGTTGGAGACAGCCAAACGTATGCAGTGGTGCCACTTGCTTGCCTCACTTTTTGTTTTGATGGGCTCTCTCATCTGGAGGTGGTGTGGGGGAGGGGGATGCGCTTTCTTAAGCATGCGCAGACAGAACCAAATTAGATCCCACAGTAAGACTCTGGAACTCCTTCATTAGTGCTTCATCACACTTGGGATCTAAGGTTACCACAGGCAGGGACTGTATCTTATTTATGTGAGCCCCCAGCCTGGCACAGTATTAAGTATTAAAAAGGAGCTTGTTAAATGCTGTTAAAGGTGTGGCTTTTTAAGGGTTTCAGTATGTCCTAGAAGGCATCAGGGCCTCAGGACATCGGGAGGACCCATATGAATGTTGGGGTCACGGGTCAATCAGAGCACCTTCACCTGGGTCATTTGTCCCTCTTACGTTCTCTCTCAGTGGAGATGCCTGCGTTCCACATCCGATGGTCTCATCTTTCCAAGGCAATGGCCCCCCAGGAAATCTTCACCACGGAAGAGGAGCCCAGACTCCGAGGATCTCCTGGATAAATCACAATTGGTAAGTTCTCAGCAGCAAGTTCGATATTTGTCTCCCAAACCAAACACCTGCAGGGTGCCTCAGTCCTCCTGGCCCTGCCAGAAAGATGAAGCGCACCCCTCTCGAGTTAAAAGCGAAAGTTACTGATTTATGACATTTTCATCTGTCCTATGTACCTACTTGGCGGAGATGAAATGGCATGTTCCATGGCTTCTCTCAGTGGAGAAATGTGACATTTCTGTTTTTTTTGAGCTCCATTGAGGCTGCTGGTCTCCAGGGAGAGACGTGACTGGGCTCTGCAGTCAACTGGTTTTCTTCAACAGGATTTTTCTCTTCTTCGCTCTGGAGATCCTACTTTCACATTGAATGCTAAGATTTGTTGGGTAGTGGGCTTCTCTGGGTCCCTTGCCATATCAGTCAGGACACGAGAGACCTAGGCTGGCTTCTGCTAGATGGTGATGAATAGATCCGTTTTTTGTTTTTTTTTTTTTTAAATTCGTTATTTTTTTAACACAAAAGTCACCACTGAATCCATTTTGAAGTGAAAAACGCAGCCCTGTTAAATGCAATCACATCTGTGTGCTGCTGTCACCACCATCCACAGAAACTTGGTCATCTTGCAAAGCTGAAACTCTGGACCTGTTAAGCAACAATTCCTCCTTCCTACCTCTCCCCAGCTCCGGGCAACCATCTTTCTACTCTCTGTCTCATGAATTTGAACTACCTTCCTTACCTCATTTAAGTGGAATCCTACAATATTTGTTGTTCTGTGACAGATTTACATCACTTATCATAGTGCCCTCCAGGCCCACCCATGTCATAGCACATGTGGAAATTTCCTTCACTTTTTTAGGGCTGAAGAGTGTTTCATTTTGTTTCTCCATTCACAGACACTCAGTTTGCTTCCATCTTTTGGTTATTAACCATAATACTACTGAGAACATGGGTATAAATATTTCTTTGAGTTCCTGATTTCAATTGTTTTTTTTTTTTGGAAGTGAAATTGAGGGATCAGCAAATAATTACATTTCTAATTTGTTGAGCCTCCACCACTATTTTTCATAGAGATTACTTTATTTTACATTTGACAAAGAATCCTAATTCTCCCATGTCCTCATCAAGACTTTTTTTTGTGGGGGTGGGGGTACAGGGATTGAACCCAGGGCTGCTTTACCACTGAGCTACATTCCCAGTCCTTTTAAATTATTTATTTATTTTTATAAGAGCTTTGTAGATACACGCAATCGTTGGGTTCATCTTCACAAAATCATATGTGCGTGGAGATTGACTTCAGTTCATGATCCCCCCTACTTTCCCGTCCAGCCTCTCCCCTGCCCTCTTCTCCTTCCTCTACTTTACTAGGCTTCCTGTAGCTTGTCTATTTATTTATATTTGATTGGCTCTTGTTACTTATGCATACAGGTGAAATTCCCTATGGTATATTTATATATGCACGTCTCATGATTTTTAGAGAATTCACTCTGCATTCCCCCCGGGACCGCACCTCCATTCTGCCTCTGTATCTTCTTCTCTCATCAGCCCTTTTTGTTTTGTTTTTGACTTTTCTGTGATCCATAGCCTGGTGGTCTTTCATTACGTTTTTTATGAGCATTACTTGAATGATTTTGATGTGGAGCGTAGTTTCAGGTCATCCATATTTTGTCAGTCCTTTGTTGCTCTTTGGAGAAGCGTCTCTTCAAGTCAGTTATCCATGTTTGAATCGGGTCTTTTTGTGGCTGTTGTGGCTTAGCTGTTGCAGTTCTTTATATATTTTGGATCCCTTATCAGATAGATGATTTGCAAATGGTCTTCTCCGTTTAGTAGAACAAGGTTTTATATCATCCAGTTCTATCTAGTTTTCCTTTCGTGGCCTGAGCTTTTGATGGCCAAATCCAGTGTCATGACAGGTTCCCTTAAGTTTTCTTCTAAGCGTTTCCTAGTTTCAGGTCTTACTTTTAGGTCTGCTATCTGTTTTGTGTAGTGCCTGTTTCCACTTCTAACACCCCCCTCATGCAGGGCTCCCCTGGAGGAGCACGTGGGCAGCAGCTGCTCCCTGTCGGGTGAGCACTGAGCGTGTATCTGGCACATGGCGAGTGCGCTCAGTCAACCCTTGTTGAATGACACAACTTTATCAGCTCTAACGGGAACAAGACAAGTAACACATTTATAGTGATTTCCCGTCACCATAGTAATTATAGAAGTTCCCCAAATTTCAACTATTGTGAAGACCTGTACAGATATTTTTGAGTTAAAGGATAATGCTATTTTCAAGCGCTTTTTAAACCTTCCATTTACTTCCTTTTCTCTGAGGTTATTTAATGGAACATTTGGGCACCTGTGATGGTAACTGGGCGCTTACCACACCTGGCCCGAGTGCCTGCATGGTGGGCTCCAGCGCACAGCTGGCTGGGTGGTGATGGCAGTGATGTGTAAGGAGATGGTGTCTTTCATCCACACGAGTCCTGTGTTAGTCAACGTTCTGTCACTGTAACCAAATGACCTGACCAGAGCAATTTAGAGCAGGGAAAGGTTTATTCTGACTCACAGTTTCAGAGGTCTCAGTCCACGCTTGGCCCACTCCATAGCTCTGGGCCCAAACTGAGGCAGAACATCATGGCTGAAAGGTGTAGTGAAGGAAAGCAGCTCAGGACAGGGCCACCAGGAAGCAGAGAGAGGGCACCTCTGCCCAGGGACAAAATATAAGCCCCAGAGACCCATCTCCACCAGTCACACCCTACTTGTCTGCAGTCGCTGCCTGGTTCATAAATGTTGGTGGATTAATCCATTGATTCGGCTACAGCTCTCACGATCATGTCACCTCTAAATCCTCTTGCTTGGTCTCACACATGAGCTTTTGGGGACACCTCATATCTAAACCATAACAAGTCCCTAAACTCTGGGGAACCAGTGTGGGAAGCAAGTACTGAATGGTGAACTGCCACCTTAGCTTCATGGCCTCAGGCAAGTGGCCCCACATCTCTGAGCCTCTTCCCATTTTATTTATAAAATAGAGAGGAAGATTCGAGAGTGCACGGGATTCCTCCAAGTTCTAAGCTTATGAAGGTTTAAGTGTTGGAGACAGGGCCATGCAGATAGGAGCTGAGACTCAACCACACCAGACAAAGGCAATTAGCCACAATTTGGCCTCTCAAAGAAAAACTTCCTGCTGCAGAAATGATAGGGAGAGGTGGGCAGAGGGGAGACTGGGGGTCATCTTTGGAGTTATAGTCTTGCTTTTGTCATAAATGCAGGTGGAGAGGAAAGAAGAACTTTGAAAATAAAATGAAATTACTTATGTTCTTATTATCCGTGAGCGGGACATTACATTTCCAGCTATTTTGGTGAACTGTTTTATATGTGGACATGAGTGTGACACAATTTAAATAAGACCACTCTTGGTTACTGCTATAGTTTGGATCTAGAATGTCTCCCAAAGGCCCATGTGTTGAAGGCTTGGTTACTCGCCTGTGGTGCTATCAGGAGGTGGTGGAATCTCTAAGAGGTGGGATCTAGACAGGTGTGATGGCACACACCTTTAATCCCAGCAGCTTGGGAGGCTGAAGCAGGAGGATCCTGAGTTCAAAGCCAGCCTCAGCAATTTAGTGAGGCTGTAAGCACCTTAGCAAGACCCTGTCTCAAAATAAAATATGAAAAAAAAAATGAAAAGAGGTAGGGTCTAGTGGGAGGAAGTTAGGTCATTGGGCACGGCCTTTGAGGAGATATTGGGACATTGGCCCCTCTCTCCTTCTCTCTCTTTGCTTCCTGGCTACAACAAAATGAACAGACTTTTGTCACCATGCACTCCCTACCTTGCAACTGGCCTGAAGCAACATATCCAAGCAACTATAATCCCAAATAAATCTTTACTTCTTGTGAGTTGATTACCTCAGGTGTTTTGTCACAGCAATGAAAAATAGAGTCAACAGTTAAGCTATTACTTAAAGTCATGAATACTATCCCCACCCAAACCCCACACATTCCACATTTTTCCTGGTGAGTTTTAATTGTGTTTGAAAGACAGTTACACCTACCATTTTCTTGATAGATACCTCTGTAAGGGGTGGCTTGTGTTGTGTTCTAGCTTGTGCCATGGCCAGAATCAGACCTTTCTGAGACATAGTACGAAGCTATTTTCATGGAACCAATCAAACAGCAACAACATCATCCAGGAGATCTGTGTTTTGACTTAATTCTTTCCTTCTGAATGAGGGTGGGCAAGTGACTTACCCTTGCTGGGAAAGAGTTTCTATATGTCTAAAAAAGTAAGGATTTTACCTACTATTTCACATAAATGTACAATGTAAATTTTATTTATACAGTAAGTACATTATTTATTACATTGTATTTTCCATCTTTTTGAAAGAGAGGGGAAAAGAGGTTTAACTTTTATTGAGCACCTTCTATGTGGTAGATACTGTGACAAGTGTTTATGTAAGGTATCCTATTAATGCTCAAATGATTCTATGAGGAAGTCCTTGTTAGGCTCATCTTAGGTTGAAATATGGATGTTCGGAGAGGTAAAGTGACCTGTTCAAGGTCACACAGCTAATGCATAGCAGGGTCAGGATTCCAACATATATCTGTTAGATCTAAAGTCAGTGCTCTCTCCTGCTATCAGTGGACTTGGACATTGTGCCAACCTGACACATCTGCACTGATGGGGACCTGTTTCCCCTCCTCCCACTGCTGAAGTTGCTGATAAGCTTCCTTTCTTTAGTGTTTCCAAAACTCTAAGCTCTCAGCCCTTGAGTCTTCTGAATTTTACCTTTGCTGAAGAGCAGACACTACAATTTCCCCTAGAACTTCTGTTTTACAGAAAAAGAAGTGATGCCTAGTCTTCTGAGTGTGGCCGACACTTCCTTCCAAGATACGGATCCCAACACATGTGAGGCTTCCTCCCCGATCACTGGCTTTCAGCCCTTCCCTCTCTTTTCCTGACACACACCCTGCAGCCTTGCTCTGAGTGTGTGTTGATGGTGTCCAGATGCCGGCTCAGGGGCCCCAGATTCACAAAAGGCCTG